TAAGTGTTTAAATAAAAGTGAAGTGTTGATTTCTTTGAGATTTTTTTCCAATTTCATTAAAAGACTCTTTAAGAGTCATTTTTTCATTTTCACTCATTTATGGCTTAAGCAAGTTTTACAGCAGTGATATCCAAATTTTGGTACAGTGGTTATTAATTGTAGGTTCAAAGAAAATGTTATGGATAAATACATTTACCTCAAGTTCAGTGGGAGTTATTTTTTGTTTTCCTTGTCCTATATGTTGTGATACATGATATTAAGAATTTTATGTAAAGTTTTTGACATGAATGACATGGGTATGCAAAGTATGTCATTGGCATTAGGATTCATAGAGATCGTGCTACTAGAATACTTGGACTTTTTCTAAAGGCTTATGTTAATTAAATATATGGAAACAATTTAAGGGTGACCAAGCGTAGTAAGCCCATTAACATAAAGTACATTTTCAAGCATGAGAAGGTTTTAAGGTTTAAGTGTCATTAAGATTTCCCTATATGGTTACAGAAAGATTGTTGCAAATCCTCTTACTAAAGTCTTCAGCCGAAGATAATAAAGTATTTAAAGAACATGTGATTCGGATAGGTATTTAAGAGTCATTATGTTATGATGTCTGATATTTCTTTTGTATATGCTACATTACAGTTAGTTTCTGTACGCATTGTGGTGATAGTTATTTTTCCTCCAGTTTACATCTATGGTGACAGTTATTTAAATTCAAAATAATTATTAAAGGTTGTCTGGGAGTGATATTTCACTCATTTGGTTATTTGGGCTAGATATGAGATTGACACCATATCGGTAAATCTAAATATAAGATTTGTCTGGGAGTGATAATACACTCATGAGGTTATTTGGACTAGATGTGAGATTGACACCACATTGGTAAATCCAAACATAAATATTAAAGTTTGCCTGTGGGAGTTTTCACACGTACTCCATGAGGATAGCTTGGGCTAGATATGAGATTGGCTCCATATTGGTAAACCCTGACACTGAACAGAAGGTTGGCGGTTTATTGTAATATGTTCAGGTGTCATACCGCAATGATATGAAGCGGGACGAATAGTGAGGTGTGCGTTTAGACCACATGTAGTTTGCACATCTCATGAAATACAGTAAAAACCACTATATTTGCTTGAAACCTGATGGAATCGGTTTTGAGATCATGGAACTGTTTAGACTAATATATTACTTGTCTACGTATTCATGATCCACTATTGAGGAAGTCTATGGAGGAGAGTGTTCTAAAGTATCAATCCATCTATTTCGATAATTGTATTTTTATAAAACAAAAATGAGTGACCACTCGACTTTTTCTAAAGTGTGTTGCCATCCACAATGTCATTTTTATAAAACTTAGAGTGCATGGACTAAGTGGGAGATTGTTGGAAATTTTTATATATAAATAATAAATTTTTTTTTATGGTCCTATGCACTATGTTTGCTAAAATATGATTGCAATGTGATTATTGGTACTTGATGGATTGGGTTGTACTTTTCAATTTGGTGGTCTAATTGGGAGTATGGTTTTATAACGTTGGATTGTGGTTTTCCAAATTATTTGGTATGATTTAATTCTAACCATTTATATCTAAGTTTTCATGATGGGAAGGGAGACTTAGGTATGTTTAGTTGTAGAGAAGCCGTCCCCCCCCCCCCCCCCCCGGCGCCCGCGTACGGGGTTGTTGTTATATAAGGGTTTTAAACCCTTATTCAGCCTTATCGAAGAACAACTCTCAGAAGGGGGTAAAGCACTCTAATATTTTGTAGGATCACAAACAATTCTAAGGCTATCATCCAAAATCTAAAGGTATATGTGCGTTAATCATCAATCAGGTACGAGACTAAATTATCTGTTTAATTAATTATAGTATTCTTGATTTCTACATGTAAATTATTTTATTAAAACCCAACAGTTTTTACTTCTCTTCTTCAGTTTCTTTTCTAAAACTCATTCCTTCATTCTTCAACCAAATACTATATTATATATATTTAATTATACATCTGAGTTTATGGGCAACATGACACTACAAGATTTGGTGATTGTCAATCTGTGAATGTGCACATGGAGGACATTGGAGTTGTATCTTGGAGCCTTTCATAGTCGTCACATCCTGCACGTAGAGAGGCTGTAAAGGCTTTAGGATAGTGCAGTATTGTGTGCCTCTCTATTAAACACGCCAGGAGTTTCTTACTCTCTACTACTCTAATATGTATTTGTTGTTATTTTACTAGCTTATTATTTTAGTATATTGTTTTATTTATACTATATATATTGTGGTATGATTACATTGTTAATTATATGAATATAGAAGGGTTTTAGTCCAAAGTGTATTTTGATATGATTATGTGAATGGACTTAAAAATGAGATTGTATAAAAATATCCAAAATCCCCAACAATTACAAACCTATCTTTCAATGGAAATTTCATTGTCATGTTCCTCATCCTTATCAGTTCATTGCATTATCGATTCTGCTGCTCCACCTCGCCGTCGTGTTTTCGCCAATTTCGATCACGGCCATGGCGAACCCGGAAAATCCTTTCCTTTTATCCAAATATCACTTCAGGTCACTGTCCAGTACTAGTTCAGGTCATTGTCCTCCCCTGCAACATTATTTGCAGATGGTAAATACGGGATTGGTCCTTATTTCAGTAGGAGCTATGTTGTGTCTTGCCCTTTGGTTATTCTATGCAAACTGCCCCCAAAGGAAGGAAGTGTTTGTGAAGTTATCTTCAAGAATAAAAGGCAGTTGCAGTAGCAAGAATAGTAGCAACAATAATTTATCGTCAAGAAGCACTCCTCCAAAGAGTGGAGTTGAATGCTTACCGAAATATAGATGTAGATGTAGGAAAAAAAAATTGAAAATTAGATGTTACAGGCTCTGTTTTATCCCCTTGTTAGCAGAAGAAATCAAGGTGGGGCAAAGCACCATTTTTTTTTCTTCTCCTCTTATTGCAACAACTGCCAGTACTAGTTTTGCTTTATTTTGGGGTTTCAATCAAACACAGGAAACCCTTCAATTCCCTTTTTGAGCCTTCATCTCGAAAACCCATAATTTTTGGTTTGGTAAAGGCATTTTTGGAAGAGTAAAATGGTAAAATAGGCATTATATTAATTGAGGGGTGTTTTTGCACAAATTGAGAAGAATAGGGGTGTTTTTTGCACACCTTTTTAAGCAGGGGGGTAAAAGTACTAAGAAAAGTATACTTTAGGGGTGTTGCTTGCACTTACCCCATTTTTTTATATACATAAAATTCAGAATAAAAGAAATGCTCTGATGAGGAAAATTTATACAAGAGAAAGGAATTTAGTTACATTTCAGTCATGGTGGCTTCATCACTCCCTTAAGAGGGGGTGTTTAAGCTAGCAAATTAATAAGAAAATAACACATAAAAATAAAATAATTTTTTATAGATTGCAAAGAATTACAAAAAAAGATGTAAGAGAATACAAAGCTATCTGTAACTCTAATATATTCTTCCCTACTCCCTTATATATCCTTCCCCCGGTTTTGAGAGTCCCTATTGATAGAGTTTAGAAGGGAAGAATTAGGACGGAAAAAGAAAAAAAAAAAAAACTTGAAAATCAAAATACAAGAGGGAAAAAAGAAAAAGAAAAAAAATCTAAATACATTTAAATATTGATAAAATCTTGTTAGTTTCCAATTTGAATTGATATTTGATTCGAAAAACTTTTCCCACAAATCCAATGCTGGTCTAATTTTGAATTTGAAATTGACTAGCCATGTATAAAAAATAGAACAATTGTGTTGAAATCAGGAATTGAACTTGATATCCCTTATAAAGTTGGTTATGTACTAGACCATCTCTCCTACAATAGTTCTGGCGCTCTTCATCAGCTATAAATAAATTCTAATCCTTTATGTAGCCAGAAATTCTCATATTTTTGTTATTTTCCTTCTTTTCTTCTTATGAAATTAACCCTTATAAAAAATGAAAAACAAAGATAAGAACATTTAACTAATATAAAAGATTAATTAAATATTTATTTTTGAGTACAAAATTTCAAGTTTTGTGCACTTATCATAACTTAGTCAGCAATGCTTAAAGTCATAACTTCTAAATATGTACTATATGTTGAACAAAATTAAAAAGATACCTGATATGTTGTTCCAAGTAGCAAGAAACAGTGATGGTCACTAACCAAAACACATTTGAATCACAAGTACCAACAAAATTTACCAAAATATAGCCATTAGCATATACTAAAAAATATGTACAAATGACATTAAAGTGAATGACAAAATACTAACAATTGAAGCCGTGGAGGGAAACTTTCCCACCACTCATAAAATGCCATATGTCAGCCGAGTAAAAAAAGAAACCCAATCATACACGCGGTCCAGAGAGAGTAGCCCATTGAATAAAGTTACAGTAAGGAAAAACCCAATATCCGAAGCAGCCCAATGACTAAGATCCAGCTTGGAAAATCTAGCCTTAGGTTATAACCACATGCAGCTGGCAATAACGCCCGAAAATAAATGATACACAATTATAAAAATTTAAAGCTATAAATGTAACGGTTCGTAACGTCCCCAGAGAATCCTGACTGTAGCAAATATAAATACAAAGACTAAGATCAAAAGGAGATCATCTGATTCTCGTTCAAAGTAGCCTTTGTTCTCTCTTTCTCAATATTCTGTACAACAGTTCGTATACTTTCCTGATTAAGTGTTTGAAGTGTTGATCTTTAGGGTCGAATCATCATATTTGGGCTGAAATTTTTTACACTTACACTTTGGTGCCGTATGTGGGAAGGGGATTAAAGGCCTCTCACCACCATTGTTGAGTTGTTTGATACATGCGACATTGCTCCGGGATGACAATGGGATCGGACGCCATTCAAATGCAACAGTTAGAAATCATACAAAAATGCATGAAGAGATGCAGGAATAATTCAATCCTATGTGCCAAGCGAATGAGGCCAATTGCCCAGTATATCAATACTTTAAGGCAAGCCAGTGAGGCAAGCACCGCTTAAATCAATGCCCTACAACAGGAGAACGAGAAACTCAGGGCTGATGCCTCCTCCCTTGCCAGCTGTTGATCGACGGATCCCCTAAGATCAACAGCTCGAGCATTGGAAGGAACAGTTGAACCGGCTGCTAGTCCCAACTGTTCAAGGGGACAATAACAACCTTCAGTAACCAAGGATTCCTCCACAAAATCCTATCGCACTTCGAGCCACGCCCGAACAAAATGTGAATGACGCAGCCAGTTAATCCCAAGTCGCGGCGGAATCTACATTAGGAATACCACGTTATACACTAACACAAGGCTTTGAAGATCACGCTGAATCTGAGAAACGTAACACTTTAATTCCGAAGGGATATCTTCAACATTTGATTGACAACGATATCCGGGCAAGTTCAGGAGAGAAGTGGATGAACAGATCAAGGGACTGAAGGACCAAACGCCTGAAGACATGTCCAGAGAGTTCACAGCCTCCATAATCAAAACCCCCTTCACCAATGAGATAGAACAAATTGGGAGGCTAAAAAGGTTTATCATGCAAAAGTTTATCAAATTTGATGGGACTGAAGATCCAATGAAGCATTTAGACCACTACAGCCAGAAAATGACTTTGGATGCACGAAATGATCTATTCTTGTGTAAAATATTCCCATCCAGCTTAATAGGGGTAGCACTAGAATGGTTCAAAAATAGACCTTACAAAATAGGGTTAGCACTAGAATGGTTCAAAAATAGACCTTAAAAGTCAATCCTGGATTTCAAGATGTTGTGCATGGTTTTCTTGGCACAATATAGTGGGAATAAAAAGCAGAAAAAAACCATATCGAACCTATTTACCATACGGCAAATGAAAAAAGAAAAACTCCAAACTTCCTAACCAGGTTTAACATGGAATCCTCAGAAATCTCCGATTGCAACCAAGCAACTGTTGTGGAAGCATTCAAGATTGCATTTTTATTTAATTACGTGGCTATTTGTTTAATAGCTTTTATATTTAATTATGTGTTTAATTGTTTTATTTAATTATTTTAATTGAGTTAATTAAATTATTTATGTGGCTAATTGTGTATGTGTATTTTATTTGATTTCATATGATGTGTTTGTGAAATTAAAATTATGTTCAAATGTTTAATTGTGCTAGTAAATGATTTGTTTATTTTTATTTTAGAAAGTTTAAGGATTTGGGTATAGCTTATGGACCAGCTAGATGGGTCTTGGACTATTTGAGTGGAATCCTAAATGGGTTGGATAGTGACCATGGGGATTAGTACTTATATATATAATAATATTTCTCTTTCTCTCTCTCTCTATATATATATATATATAGTATTTTCATTAAAAATAATGTTTTATTAAATTAGTTACCAAGTTTAAGTTTGTTAGACGTAGGTTAGGTCTAGGATATATGTAGTATATATTTATCAATATATATACATTTAAAGTAAATCTAGAAAGAGAAAAATAGAAACTAGAGAGAGAAAGAGAAAGAGAGAGAGAAGGAAGAAGAAGAAGAAGGACCATTAGAAAAGAAGAATAAAGAAGAAGGAGTTTAGCTTTCGATCCGAAAGTTTAAGACAAGTTCTTTGTTCTATACTTCTCCCTTAGACCTGTGATCTATATGTCTCTAGTATAACTTTAGGGATGATTAAAGAACTATTAAAATCTGAATCCATGTTTAAATTGATCTAGAAAATACGGTTTTATGACTATATGTTCATATTGATGTTCCTGATGTATGAATTATTAAATTGATGCTTAGATCTACTTTAATGGGATTTTTACATGTTAAATTGATGTAGATTTGTTCTTGGATGTTTGTGGGACTTAGTAACATGCATTAGGACCCGTAACAAGAAAGAACATGGCTGAAAAATGGGGTTTCGGGCTATTCACGAAGCAGTGCTTGAGCACCATATTACAGTACTCGAGCACTATCTTCTGCGAAAGGGTGCTCGAGCACCATGTGAAGGTGCTCGAGCACACCAATGAGTGTCCCGTTTGGCCCCGAATTGTTTATTTAAGGTCCCGAAGACTAAATATGGACCTAAGGATGATGATATGTGAATTTAAATAGGCATGAATAGAACGATGTATGAAATTTGAATTTACTTAATGATGAATTACGGAATTTAGGGTTAGTTTATTACGGTAGAATGGAATACAAAGAAAGTGGGAATGGAATGGTTTTTTTTTTTTTTTTTTTTTTTTTTTTTTTTTTTTTTTCCATTTTTACGTTTGGTGCCCGATTTTAAACTTGGAATCGTCATTCTCTACCATTCTTGGAGAATGGTCATTTCATCAAAATCATTCCACCTTCGGACAAAAAGAATGACTATTCCATTCCTACTTAAAAAAAACAAAATAAAAAAATATAAAAAAAATAAAGCTGAAGTGCTGTCGCTAACAAATTACAAACCGACCACAACAATCCTGAGAACCAAAGCCAGCCCCGACAAGTAAGACTGTCGGCGTAATGAACCGGCGAGTTATTGTGACGACTCTGGTTTTATAAGTCAGTGCGTCCGACCCGAAGGTTGATCCGATAACGGATCCTGAATGTGGAAGTGAAAACATAAGCAAGGTCTCTAGGGATGTATCGTCCCTAAGATACCTAAGCGACCTTCCATGAAGTCATGGAAATCAATGAGAATGAAAACGGAAGCAAGGGTTAAAAATAGACCAAGTATGGGCCCAAGGGAAAAATGGTCCTTTCGCACAGAAAATGAAGTCTCTAGATGTAACACCCCCACATTTTCCACGCATAAGTTGATCAGGCTTATACACGAAAAACGAGGGATATCAAAAACAATTGGCAATATACAAGCATGGAATACAAAATGATGGAATTAAAAGAATTTAGACAGGAAAGAAACATTAAATAATACAACATCCATCCATCCTTTATTTAATGCAGTACTTCATTACAACTTGGAAATCCTACGTCAGGGATCCCTAAATATAACCCTGAGAGTTCAACGTCAAAAGTAAATAAAAACTGAAACTGAAGTATTACATAAAACTTCTACCCTGCACTGGATCGTAAGAGTAGATGAGTTCGGATGATGGTCCCACACTGCTAACCTCAGCCTTGAAACGGATACTGACCGTATCCTGAAATAACAACAATGGTGGGTCAACCCCACGAGCAAGTCCTCTCTACTATGACCCAAATCAGAGAATCAAATAAATTAATCATTATGAATCGGTTGAGTACTATATCTGTATACATCCTACGGGAACTATCCGATGTATAACATGACCTCAACCAGAATAGACGGTGATCACTTAGACTCACACTAGGTGGTCAAGTGTCGCCTTTCCCTACCCGGGAAATCAGCTATTATACATGGTGTACGGTACTGACAACACAGACTATAACGAACTACACAGTGATAACACCTCGCAAAGTACTGATGAATATACTGAGCATATAAATTAGGCAACACATGCCAACAATATTAATAAATGTACCGAGTATGTCAATTTAGGCAACACATGCCAATAATATTAATAAATATACCGAGTATGTCAATTAGGCAACACATGCCAATAATATTAAACCACATACCCCGACAGCCACACATCTGTCTATCGCAACGAATGCATAAGGTATAAATGAGTCTAAACTTATTAGCCAGCTCATATGGTTCTATATGGCAACACATCCATATAATATAAATGCGACATAATTAAACAGTCCATTTATTTCCTGAAATGCACACAGCATAATAATCATGGTTTATATATCAATTAACAGTATAAACATCCTATAAGATATCATGGATAATTTATCTGACTAAAACCATGGCCTTATTTAATTTAACAGTAATGTTTGATACCATTAAATACGATAATAACACTATTTATATTTAACAATGTCGTTAAATAAATCACATTAGTATCCGTACTGCGAACGAGCCAATAAATGCTTAGAAAAGATTAATCGGCCATAAGAATAAGTAACGGGTGTTAAAATAATAATTTCGTGGCCCGTTAAACCCGTAATTACCAACACAGTACCTAAAAATCCAAGTTTAAGGTTCTGGAATTTACAAAACAGGCCCTAGGGGTATTCTGGTAATTTCCAGCAGCTGTAGGGACCCCACACGCGCCCTCACGCGCCTCCCAGAGCCTCCCCACGCGCAGCCCAACCTTCCCCACTCTCCCACGCGCCTCCACGCGCGTCTGGCATCAGCCACGCGCTCCCACGCGCGTCTGGAGAGTCCCACGCGCGTGCACGCGCTGCCACGCGCGCACTAGGGGTGCCTTGCTGACGCGGCGTGTGCTGGTTGGTCGGTTGCATCAGATTTCCTACGTGCGCGCCACACCGGATCAATCCACCTACATCTCCTCCATCCAACGTCCACGGATCCGGGTGTACCGCGGTATCATGGACCGCGATGCACCGGATCAATCAGACTCCACTAATGGCCAGGATGCGCGCGTACACCTCCTATGGTGCGCCGCGTCGCACCGGATCACTCCGGTCGTCTCCCCCACTGCCGGCGACCGGAAAACTCGCCGGAAGGTCGCCGGAAATTGCAGAAAATGCCCGGAAAAATCTAGAAAATTCTAGAAAAATCCCTAAAGTCTTATTTAATTATTTTTAGCCATTATTAATTTCATAGGACATTAAATAAATATATACCATCCTATATAATTAAAATTCCATTAATTTAACAAAATAAAATTAATAATTTATTAACCTCCAAACCTTGGCTCTATGCATAAAAATAAGCTAAACAATTAATTTATTAATTCAAAGGGGAAAAGTAGATAATAACTTGCCTTTTTGGATTTAAAATAAATCCGCCGGTCTGCGCGTAGTCGGGTAAAATTGCCTACACCGGTCCAAGCTTCTTTCTCTTTCTCTTTTCCTTTCACTCTTATAAAATAGCTCTCTAGAATTTATACTTTGCTTCTAACTCCCTTTTATTTTCTTCTAAGGCAAGCTAGTTAATTTATATACAAAATATATAATATAAATATTACAAATATCTTATTTTTTTCATCAACTAACCATCCTCCCAACCATATGGCTTCAATTCCAACCATAACCATTGATGCAATCCTATCCTAATCTCTAGTTTCATCATGACTTTGGTTTAATACTATTATTATTATTATAACTATTATTATTATTATTACTAATATTATTATTAATAAACTTTTATTATTATTATTATATTATTATTATTATTATTATTAAACTAATATAATTATTATTATTGTTATTACAAAATAATATATTATATCATCATAATACTTTATAACACAAATATAATATTCTAATTAACTAATATTGCTTAATTAAACATAATCAACAAATAAAATTAATTATAATAATACATGCACAATTAAATACATAAATTTACTATTTTAACATACACAATTAATTTACATGCACCATTAAATGAACTTAATATAACAATGAAGCATGCACAATAATAGGTACAGGAATCCACACACATAATTGAATTTAAATACACTAAACTCTTTAATTAATTACGGGGTATTACATTCTCCCCCCCTAATAACGGAATTTCGTCCCCGAAATTCACTACATACCTGTATTAAAGAGCTCTGGATACTTGGCACGGATAATATCTTCCCGTTCCCAAGTAGACTCTGTAGCACTATGATGACTCCACTGTACACGTACTAATGGAATAGTCTTCGTGCGCAGTATCTGATTCCTACGATCGAGAATACAGTAAGGTTGTTCCAAATAGGTTGCATCAGGTTGCAACTCAATCTCACCCACATCAATGTGTTGATATCGGTCTTCGTCCCGTAGAAATTTTCGCAGCATAGATACATGAAAAACATTATGTACCCTATGAAGATTATCTGGTAGAGCCAGACGATAAGCTACTGCCCCAATCCGATCTGTAATCATAAAAGGACCCACAAAACGAGGCGATAACTTACCCTTTGACCCAAACCGCATTACTCCCTTCATAGGAGAAACCTTAAGCAAAACCTGATCACCAACCTTAAACTCCAAAACACGAGTTCGACGGTCAGCATAACTTTTTTGTCTGCTTTGAGCTGTACGCATCCGATCCCTAATGATAGCGATCTTTTCTGACGTGTCCTTAATAAATTCAGGACCCAAAAAGCTGTTCTCACCAACTCCAAGCCAACAGACAGGAGACCTACACGGTCTGCCGTACAAAGCCTCAAATGGTGCCATACCAATAGTTTTCTGATAACTATTGTTATAAGCAAACTCTGAAAGCGGCAAATATTCCTCCCAATTGCCCTTAAAATCAAGAACACATGCCCGCAACATGTCTTCTAAAATCTGATTAACTCGCTCAGTCTGTCCATCTGTTTGAGGATGATAAGCAGTGCTAAGATATAGTTCTGTACCCAAAGCCTGCTGAAAGCTCCTCCAAAATCCTGAGACAAACTTCGGATCTCTATCTGATACGATGGACAATGGTACACCATGAAGTTTCACCATTTCTGCAATATACAGCTTAGCATACTGTTCTGACGTAAAGTTTGAACGAACAGGCAGAAAGTGAGCGGACTTGGTCAATCTATCAACAATGACCCAAATAGAGTTGTGATTATGCTGTGAAGTAGGTAATCCCTCTATAAAGTCCATGGAAATACTTTCCCATTTCCACTCTGGTATGGGAAGTGGCTGTAACGATCCTGGCGGTCTCTGATGATCAATCTTAATCATCTGACAGGTGCTACATTTAGAGACAAAGATAGCTATATCTCTTTTCATGCCGGCCCACCAAAACTGGCGTTTCATGTCCTGATACATCTTGTCTCCCCCTGGATGTACAGAGAACTGAGAAGTATGTGTCTCTCTCATCACAACATTTCTCAAATTATCAGCTGAAGGCACAATTAAACGTCCCTTGTACCTCAATCCTCCATCAGTCCCTATAGAATAAAAAGGAACATCTCCGGAGGCTAACTCCGAAACCCGATCAATACACTGTTGATCTGAGAGTTGCGCTTGAATGACCTGATGAATGATAGAAGGAGTTACTACCACACATGCCATAAAAGCGTCTGCTAACTCATCAACCGTCTTCAAAGCATCCCACTCTGTTGTAAACAAAGCTGAAAGGCTGACATAGGGTCGGCGGCTGAGTGCGTCTGCTACAACATTCGCTTTCCCTGGATGATACTGAATAGAGAAGTGATAGTCTTTCACGAATTCCAACCATCTGCGCTGTCTCATATTCAGTTCCCTCTGTGTGAACAAATACTGTAGACTCTTATGATCGCTAAACAATCGAAAAGTCTCCCCCAAAAGATAATGTCTCCAAATACGCAAGGCAAAAACCACTGCGGCGAGCTCTAGGTCGTGAGTCGGGTAATTAAGCTCATGAGGCTTAAGCTTCCTAGACCCATAAGAAACTGGTCGCTCTTCTTGCATCAACACACAACCCAAACCCTTCAGAGAAGCGTCGGTAAATACGAAATACTCGATTCCACTCTGAGGTGTGGCTAAGACAGGTGCAGAAGTTAACTTGCTCTTCAATTCAGCAAAAGCAGCCTGACAAGAATCATCCCATACAAATGGTACATTCTTCTTAGTTAGATGAGTAAGTGGACCCGCAATTTTGGAAAATCCCTGGATGAACCGGCGATAATACCCCGCCAATCCCAGAAAACTGCGAATCTCTGTCGGTGAGGTAGGCTGTCCCCACTCCATAATGGCCGCAACCTTGGCTGGATCTACTGCTAACCCTTCTTCTGACACTACATGACCTAGAAATTTGACCTCTTTCTGCCAAAATTCACACTTCTCAAACTTCGCAAACAACTGATGTTCTCGAAGTGTCTGCAATACTGTGCGTAAATGTCTAGCATGGTCCTTCTCCGACTTAGAGTAAACCAGAATATCATCAATGAAAACAATGACAAACTGATCTAAGTATTCTCTGAATACTCTATTCATCAAGTCCATAAAGACAGCTGGAGCGTTCGTTAAACCGAAAGGCATAACACGAAACTCATAAGATCCGTACCTCGTGAGAAATGCTGTCTTTGGAACATCTTGTTCTCTGACTCGTAGCTGATGATAACCAGACCTCAAATCGATCTTTGAGAAGTAAGTAGCTCCCTTCAACTGATCAAACAGGTCATCAATTCTGGGCAACGGGTACTTGTTGCGAACAGTGACCTTGTTCAGTTCTCTGTAATCAATACAAAGACGAAGAGATCCATCCTTCTTCTTGACAAACAGTACTGGTGCTCCCCATGGTGAAGTACTTCTGCGAATAAATCCCTGGCTGAGCAACTGTTGAATTTGATCTTTCAACTCTCGCATCTCCACTGGTGCCATTCTGTACGGCACCTTAGCAATAGGCGTAGTGCCTGGAGCTAAATCAATAACGAAGTCTATCTCTCGACTCGGTGGCAAGCCTGGAATTTCCTGGAATACATCCTGGAATTCCTGTACTACCGGGATGCTGTCAAGAGATACCGTAGTCGCTTCCTGTGAGTCCTCCTCAAGAACGAATAAATAAGTGCTAGGCCCTCTATCAGGTTGTGGTACAACAAGAAGATACATCTCCTGTCCTGGTATAGAAAATACAATAGACTTTTCGTAACAGTTAACCTGAGCATGGTACTGAGATAACCAGTCCATCCCAAGTATAACATCATACGAATGCATATCTAACACTAACAAATTTGCAAGAAATCGAAGTCGGCCCATATCTATAAGGATATCACCGCTATACTCTCGTAAAATTGCGCCAACTCCCAATGGTGTATAAATATTAAGAGGTTGGTCACATAACTGAGTCGTCATACCAGATAAGATAACAAAAGATCTAGACACAAAAGAATGTGATGCACCAGTGTCAAACAGTATACGAGCAGTTCTACCATGTATAGAAAACATACCCTCAATAGCCTGAGGAGCCTGCGCATTATGTGGCATGAAGTTATAAACTCTGCCATGATGCAACTGCTGTGGAGGTTGTCCCGGAGGAAATGGTGGTGCTGGAAGTGCCGGAAAATTCTGAACTTGCCCACGTGGCATCGGTGGGGCCGGTAGAGGTAACGGCTGATTAGGTCTCGGCTGCCCATACTGTCCCTGCTTAGCTTTGGGACACATCTTGGCCGGATGCCCAATCTCTCTACAGTGATAACAACGTCCCGTAAAAGGACCTGCCTGCCTTCTCTGTTGATTTCCCGACCACTGTTCCTGTCCGGTCTGAGGTATCCCACCTTGTCTACCCTGATTAGGGACTCCATCCCTCTGCACATCTAGGTTTCCTTTGTTTTTCTTCCAAGGTTGATGTCCTTGAAATCTGCCCCGATCATTGGACTTGGCACCACTGCTGCTTCCTTTCTCCCCTGTCTGGTAGTCTCGGTTAGTCCGCTTATCTCCCTTGGACTTCCGGTAATCACTCCTCATCTGGCAGTGCTGTAAGGCGGCATTAACCACCTGGATATAAGTAGTATATGCCGGACTACCTAAGATCACCACTTTAATCGGCCATATTAACCCCTTCACAAAGCGGTCTCTCTTCTTTTCTTCCGTATTGACCTCCTCTGGTGCAAATAATGACAAATTTATGAACTTCTGTTCATACTCAGCCACAGTCATATCTTCCTGTTGCAGATCCAGAAATTCAGTCTTCATCGCTGATCTTACTGACATAGGAAAATACTTGTCGTCAAAGCGAGTCTGAAATTCAGCATACGTCAATCTGGTTCTCTCATCGACAGTAGTAATAGACTCCCACCACTGCAATGCATTGCCTATCAGCATAAACGTAGCCAGCATCTGTTTCTGCACTTCGGTACAGATTACCATCCGAAGATGACGCTCGCTCTCCTGTTTCCACTGATATGCTAACAAGACATCTGTGGACCCTGCAAATGTCGGTGGATTTCCCCGGATGAACGAGTCACGAACTTTGTCCCATGACATTGGCTGTGCCACTGGTTCAGGAACAGGTACTATCGGAGGAGGTTGCTGGTTTCGTAGAGCAGATGCTACTCCTGCTGCCACAGCTCGTGCAATGATGTCAGCAACTTGAGGAGAGAATTCCTGATTCTCATTTTGAGTTGGGGAAATACTGCGATGACGGTTCGCATTCCTTGTCCCACGCCGAGACATCCTTCTTTTAAATTCAGAAAAATCTAACGTCAGTACATTATAATGGACCGACTAAAAGAATACAAAGAACCCTAATACTTAGGCTCTAATTATCAGAATACACAACGCGGAAGTATAGTAATCACAGATCCCTAAGACACTCGAACCTGGAATGCTCTGATACCAACTGTAACACCCCCACATTTTTCACGCATAAGTTGATCAGGCTTATACACGAAAAACGAGGGATATCAAAAACAATTGGCAATATACAAGCATGGAATACAAAATGATGGAATTAAAAGAATTTAGACAGGAAAGAAACATTAAATAATACAACATCCATCCATCCTTTATTTAATGCAGTACTTCATTACAACTTGGAAATCCTACGTCAGGGATCCCTAAATATAACCCTGAGAGTTCAACGTCAAAAGTAAATAAAAACTGAAACTGAAGTATTACATAAAACTTCTACCCTGCACTGGATCGTAAGAGTAGATGAGTTCGGATGATGGTCCCACACTGCTAACCTCAGCCTTGAAACGGATACTGACCGTATCCTGAAATAACAACAATGGTGGGTCAACCCCACGAGCAAGTCCTCTCTACTATGACCCAAATCAGAGAATCAAATAAATTAATCATTATGAATCGGTTGAGTACTATATCTGTATACATCCTACGGGAACTATCCGATGTATAACATGACCTCAACCAGAATAGACGGTGATCACTTAGACTCACACTAGGTGGTCAAGTGTCGCCTTTCCCTACCCGGGAAATCAGCTATTATACATGGTGTACGGTACTGACAACACAGACTATAACGAACTACACAGTGATAACACCTCGCAAAGTACTGATGAATATACTGAGCATATAAATTAGGCAACACATGCCAACAATATTAATAAATGTACCGAGTATGTCAATTTAGGCAACACATGCCAATAATATTAATAAATATACCGAGTATGTCAATTAGGCAACACATGCCAATAATATTAAACCACATACCCCGACAGCCACACATCTGTCTATCGCAACGAATGCATAAGGTATAAATGAGTCTAAACTTATTAGCCAGCTCATATGGTTCTATATGGCAACACATCCATATAATATAAATGCGACATAATTAAACAGTCCATTTATTTCCTGAAATGCACACAGCATAATAATCATGGTTTATATATCAATTAACAGTATAAACATCCTATAAGATATCATGGATAATTTATCTGACTAAAACCATGGCCTTATTTAATTTAACAGTAATGTTTGATACCATTAAATACGATAATAACACTATTTATATTTAACAATGTCGTTAAATAAATCACATTAGTATCCGTACTGCGAACGAGCCAATAAATGCTTAGAAAAGATTAATCGGCCATAAGAATAAGTAACGGGTGTTAAAATAATAATTTCGTGGCCCGTTAAACCCGTAATTACCAACACAGTACCTAAAAATCCAAGTTTAAGGTTCTGGAATTTACAAAACAGGCCCTAGGGGTATTCTGGTAATTTCCAGCAGCTGTAGGGACCCCACACGCGCCCTCACGCGCCTCCCAGAGCCTCCCCACGCGCAGCCCAACCTTCCCCACTCTCCCACGCGCCTCCACGCGCGTCTGGCATCAGCCACGCGCTCCCACGCGCGTCTGGAGAGTCCCACGCGCGTGCACGCGCTGCCACGCGCGCACTAGGGGTGCCTTGCTGACGCGGCGTGTGCTGGTTGGTCGGTTGCATCAGATTTCCTACGTGCGCGCCACACCGGATCAATCCACCTACATCTCCTCCATCCAACGTCCACGGATCCGGGTGTACCGCGGTATCATGGACCGCGATGCACCGGATCAATCAGACTCCACTAATGGCCAGGATGCGCGCGTACACCTCCTATGGTGCGCCGCGTCGCACCGGATCACTCCGGTCGTCTCCCCCACTGCCGGCGACCGGAAAACTCGCCGGAAGGTCGCCGGAAATTGCAGAAAATGCCCGGAAAAATCTAGAAAATTCTAGAAAAATCCCTAAAGTCTTATTTAATTATTTTTAGCCATTATTAATTTCATAGGACATTAAATAAATATATACCATCCTATATAATTAAAATTCCATTAATTTAACAAAATAAAATTAATAATTTATTAACCTCCAAACCTTGGCTCTATGCATAAAAATAAGCTAAACAATTAATTTATTAATTCAAAGGGGAAAAGTAGATAATAACTTGCCTTTTTGGATTTAAAATAAATCCGCCGGTCTGCGCGTAGTCGGGTAAAATTGCCTACACCGGTCCAAGCTTCTTTCTCTTTCTCTTTTCCTTTCACTCTTATAAAATAGCTCTCTAGAATTTATACTTTGCTTCTAACTCCCTTTTATTTTCTTCTAAGGCAAGCTAGTTAATTTATATACAAAATATATAATATAAATATTACAAATATCTTATTTTTTTCATCAACTAACCATCCTCCCAACCATATGGCTTCAATTCCAACCATAACCATTGATGCAATCCTATCCTAATCTCTAGTTTCATCATGACTTTGGTTTAATACTATTATTATTATTATAACTATTATTATTATTATTACTAATATTATTATTAATAAACTTTTATTATTATTATTATTATATTATTATTATTATTATTATTAAACTAATATAATTATTATTATTGTTATTACAAAATAATATATTATATCATCATAATACTTTATAACACAAATATAATATTCTAATTAACTAATATTGCTTAATTAAACATAATCAACAAATAAAATTAATTATAATAATACATGCACAATTAAATACATAAATTTACTATTTTAACATACACAATTAATTTACATGCACCATTAAATGAACTTAATATAACAATGAAGCATGCACAATAATAGGTACAGGAATCCACACACATAATTGAATTTAAATACACTAAACTCTTTAATTAATTACGGGGTATTACACTAGAGGTGTATGTCATCCCTAAGATACAAACGTGACTCCCTACGAAGTCACAGAACTCAAAGAGACAAGTTGAAGAAAACTAGGGTTGAAAAATGCAATGTTTAACCCTAGGGGCATAA